GCGCTCCCAGATCAGCTACAAGTGCCACCTGGTACTGCGCCCCATCCCTGAGTTGCTGCGGGCACCCCCCGAGCGGGTGTGGGTGGCTGTGCCTAGAAGACCGCCACCCAGCGGGGGGCTCTCGTCCTCCTCTGACTCTGAAGAGGAGGAGCTGGAGGAGCTACCCTCAGTGCCCCGACCACTGCAGCCCGAGTTCTCGGGCTCTCGAGTGTCCCTCACCGACATTCCCACTGAGGATGAGGCCCTGGGGACCCTGGAGGCTGGGGCTGCCACCCCTATGGAGTGGCAGGAGCAGGGAAGGGCCACCTCTCAGGACCAGCAGGCCCCGAGCCCTCCTGCCCTCCCCTCCCCAGGCCAGGAGCCCCCAGCTGGGCCCAGCCCCAAGCGGGGAGAGCTCCGCAGGGGCAGCTCAGCTGAGAGCGCCCTGCCCCTGGCCGGGCCACGGGAGCCGGGCCGGGGCCTGCAAAAGGCAGCATCTGTGGAGCTGCCACAGCGCCGGAGCCCCAGCCCGGGGACCGCCCGCCTGACCCGGGGAGGCCTGGGTGAGGGTGAGTATGCCCAGAGGCTTCAGGCCCTGCGCCAGCGGCTGCTGCGGGGAGGCCCTGAGGATGGCAAGGTCAGTGGCCTCAGGGGTCCCTTGCTAGAGAGCCTGGGGAGCCGTGCCCGGGACCCCCGGCTGGCACGAGCTGCCTCCAGCGAAGCAGCACCCCACCACCAGCCTCCCCCAGAGACTCGGGGCCTACAGAAGAGCAGTAGCTTCTCACAGGGTGAGGCAGAACCCCGGGGCCGGCACCGCCGAGCCGGGGCACCGCTTGAGATCCCTGTGGCCCGACTTGGGGCCCGCAAACTACAGGAGTCTCCCTCCTTGTCTGCCCTCAGTGAGACCCAGCCACCCAGCCCTGTACGGCCCAGTGCCCCGAAAGCCAGTGCCCGCAAACCCAGTGCCCCCAAGTCTTCAGAACCTCCTGCCACCAAACCTAGTGATGCTTCTCAGCCCTTGGCATCCCAGCCTGCCCAAGAGAAGGCCCAGGAGGTCAAGGCAGAACCAGTCCCAGCCCCCAAACCGACACAGCCTCCCGTGGCCCTGCAAACCCCAGCGCTCCCGCTCACACCCTATGCTCAGATCATTCAGTCATTGCAGCTGGCGGGCCACAGGCAAGGCCCTCCCCAGGGCCCGGCCACACCTCCAACGGAGCCCAAGTCCCACCCCGCGGTGTTCGCCAGGGTGGCCTCCCCACCCCCGGGAGCCTCTCCCAAACTCCCCAAGATC